TATCATCCGAGACCAGTCACTCCATGCTCCTTGAGCAATAACCTTCACCCGTCAAGTCAATAAATGCGAACTCATTAACTCAAGTTCATGCGCTTTTCAGCTCTTACAAGATGCTCCTCTTCTCTCTCACCCCTTCATCAAAACAATATCTTTCTCGTCGTCTTCTTTAGAATTTTCACCATGGTCGGGTCTGCAATCATGGAGAGACAGCCCATTAAACAAGAACCGGATGGACCACAAACACCTCCCTCGTCAATTGACACCAAATGGACCTCACTGGACTGTGCTTCATCTCTTGCATAACTCGGTGCACTTGTTGTTTCTACTAGTGACCCTCTCTCAAAATCCACAATTGATCTTTATTTTAGTGCTTCCGAGTTTTGTGTTAGTATGGTTTATTTATCAGTTACTTCCGTTGAACTATTTTCTAGCATCACGAAGAAGAGATATTTTTATGGTGTACATTAGTGCAGGCATAGCTTTGACATTATCAAGTTCATGTCAGTGGGACTGGGATCTGTTGCTTTCAATTTCAACAAAGAGTTGGAAAGTTGAGGATTCACTTCCATCTATGCTGTTTTTTAAAATGCAATTAGCTTAATTTTCTCGCAAAAGAAAAATGCTATTACCTTTGGATGTTCCAGAAGTAATTTGGGCAGGGACTTGATGATTTATTGTTTGGATATTACTCGTTGATCGAATTGTTATCCAATTATTGTATGTGAAACGTAATTGTTTGAGTTGTTGAATTGGTGGTTGGATTCTTATGGTGATTTCTAGATATCCCTGAAGGAAATTCCAGCTTCTAAAGATCCATGCTTCCCTCCTAATGCTCACATGCTTCATAATATTTTTCACATTAAAAAATAAAATAAAATAAAAATTTTCAGTATTTTATCATGAAATAATATTTATTGCATTGTAAATTATTATAATGTAATGATATTTTAGCAATTCACATTAACAATCAATAAAGTGAAAAATAAATGACAAAATGATCTTTCCACGAGATTCATCTAACATCATCAAATTAGCTGAGGGTAATAGTAAAATAGCTTTAGTACCCTTAAAAAAATCAAACTAACATCCAAGGGCTTTTCAATTTTTTTATTATTTTCAAAACATTAAAATAACAAAAGCACCTTTAAAAGCAAAAATTACTATCACCTTCAAGGTGTTTTTTTTTTAAAATATTTTTTTTTTGTTATAATCAAGAGCGTTGTTAAATATTTTTTTATGGTTTTTTTTTTTGTTATAATCAAGAGCGTTGAGGGAAAACTGGGTATTTTAGTAAATGTAAATATTATTAGAAAAAATAACTGACGCGTGCATTGCATGCATCAGTGAATGGCTGGTATTCGTGAATTTTGAACGGTGTGTGCGACATTTCCTAGCAGCCAAAACCTAGCTTTCGAGGTGGCGTTCGAATCTACTTAACAACCTCTTTGTGCTTAGGAGGGCATGTGGGGAACAGACCTTCGGTTTGGCTCTAGTGGCCTTTTCCTTTCTTTTTCTCTCTCCTTAATTCTATTGCGAAACCCTCCAATTATTCCAATGAGCCATTCAATTTGGTTTTTCTGCAACTTTGATTTATGTCCTTTAGGTTACTATTTATTTTTTTGAAAATAATTTGTAACAATGTTTCGACTAATGGCTTGACATAAGTTTTTAACAAGACTTTATGCAATATTCTCAAGAAAGTGGTGAGTCCTTGAAGAGGGACTGGCATGATAGAATTAGAAAAGTAATTTGAGCTTATCATACTACATCTTAAACGCCAATTCAAGCTGCTCTATATTCCTTGGTATATGAGATTGAAGTTGTTCTTTCACTAGAATGTTAAATTCTGTCTTTGAGAATTGTGATCCAAGGACTTTCTAATGAAGACAACGTTCGTCTACACTTCAAAGAGCTTGAAGTTTTAGATTAAAAGCGTCTTGAAGTACAATAACGTTTAGAATGTTATCAAGCCTGACTTTACAGAGCTTTCAATAAGAAGATGCGACCATGCTCATTCCAAGTTGAAGATCTTGTCTTCGCAGTATAACACTTGATAATCACATTGAAACACAAGGGCAACAAGTTCCACCCCAAGTAGGATGGCTCTTATTTGGTTTAAAAAGTCTAAATCAATGGAGCTTATAAAATTATTGATGAAAATGGATTAAGGATTTGACTTATTAACAATAAATTCTTAAAGAGATACTATGCTTGAAATCTGATGTAGCTACTTACTTGCATGAGCTAAAATTACAATTTAGCTAGTATGCCAAACTTCAAGCCTGTTTGTGAGGTCAAGATAACCTCATATAAAAGAAAATGAATAAAACAAAGGAGGTCAACTCTTAAATAAATTAAATAATGAAAAATAAAACTAAAAACAAATAATTAAAAAAACATTGAAAAAAATCTACGTCAAACAAATAATTAAAAAAAACATTGAAAAAAATCTACGTCAACTGAAGCTAACTTGACTAACCCGTTACTTAAGATATAAGATTATGATAACCCCATAAAAAAGTGAAAAAAAATCATGAACTGAAGGCCTAATAACCTATATCCAAGGAGATTATGATGACCCGTTACTGAAGGCCTAATAACCTATATCCAAGGATAAAATTAAAAAAATAAATTCAAAACGAGTCATTCTTTAAAATTCATGATCCAGATCATGGGATTAGGTTGCTTCATCGAAGCCAAACTCATAAAAATTAGCAAGCAAAATTTCCAGTTATCTAAAATAAAAAAATAGTAATAAAAAGAATGAAGATCGAGTCTAGTATAAAAATTAAATGTAATAATATAATACGAGATGAAATTAAAAAAATAAATTATATTAAGAAAATGATAAAAAAAAATCAATTAAAAGAATGAGGGCTATATTTGATAGATGAAAAATGAAATCGAATTGTGCACACAACTTATTCATGGTTTTATTATAGAATTCATTTTCTTATCAGTTATGATATATCTCGATATCATATAACGATAAATGATGTTTGTTTGAATGAAATTTACAACTGTCTCTTTCTTGACCTCTTTTAATATTGCAGCTTGTGCCCACTTTGAGAAGTAATATGTTGTGGTCAATATGTAAAGATACCCCCAATGTTTTTTAATAATGGTCCTACCACATCAAGTTCCCAAGCACTAAAGGACTGAGAAGCAATTGTCGGGTGTAAAGGCTCAAGTGGTTGGTGGATCAAATGAGCATGCAATTGACAACTTTGACATTTTCTAGTATAATCTATGCAATCTTTCACCATTATAGTCCAACAGTACCCTATTCTTTTGATTTAGAAGTGAAGTTTAGGACTTGATTGGTGCACTTTATAGATCCTCGATGTGTTTCTTTTTTTTTTTTTTTATGGTTTCTTCTTCTTCGAGACAACACAAAAAGACCCTATAAAAAAATGTCGATAAAGAGTGTCTTAGAAGTATATGAAGCATGAAGCTCTTTGCCTCACCTATCTTATGACATAAGTTTCTAGTTAGCTTACCATGTCTTAAATAGTCAATAAGCTGCTGACGTCAATCTTCTTTTTCAATCTCATAAATAGAAATTACACTCATTTGTTCCTTTTCTTCTATGTCATAAATTATTGGTGGAATGACCCATGTTTGGCATACAATGATTTTTGTTTCTTCAGTAAATGATGCTAATATTGACATCGGTTTGCTTATTCTCTTTTCCTATCATTAGTTTTAGTTCATACTTGTAATATGGAACGAATTCTAGCTTCTTACCTTCATAAAATGAGAGAAGTTATCTGATGACTTATTAAGTATTCCATGTGTCCCACTTGATTTTTGTAGTGAAGTTACTTATAACTTTAGTTTTAGAGCTAGCTCTTGTACTCTTTTTGCATTTGAAGTTGATGTCAGCTTAAGAATCAGCTTAGTTTATGCATACAACTCGATGATGAATTTTGTTTTCAATGGCGAGGTAAGCAAATCTTCAATGGTATGTTAGTGAATTGAATTAGTAGTCTTGTTGCTTCTGAAAGCTACAATGATGCTTCCTAGTTTCCATTAAGAGTTTGTTGAAAGTTCTTTCATGAAGGAAAGAGATGAGATGTAGAGAAATCCTTAATGGAGTCGTCAGAAATTTGTAGACATAATTTTAAGCACCTGAAATTAAACAAGCATACGTGTACAAATATATAATTTTATTACATATATAACCGAGTACAATTTCTATTAAATATTCTTTCAAAAGTATAAGACGATACTCTAATTCTTCCATTGAATTTGATATATGGTGACTTGATTTATTTGTTAAATCAAGCCAAGATTTGTGCTTTACAAGAATTTGAATTTAGATGTATATTGTGAAGCAAGATTTGATAATTTGAAACTTTAAAGAGTACTTTTGATTTTTCTTTAGAGTGTTATTAAAGAACTTTTATAAGGCGTTTAAACTTGATCCAATATAACTCCGTTCTTTGTAGACTTCGAACATAGATAAAGAAAGCTTAAGAGCTTTTGAGAGAGATTCATTGCTTGAAGAATTTGTCTTAAATAAAATTTTTATCTTTAAGAATTTTTTTTTTTTCTAGGTTTAGGCCATCTATTTATAAAGGTTTACAAGGACTCTCATGTTTTTTATTGGTTGATATTTATTAATGGGATCTTGCATTTATGATAAAATATCTAGAATATCTTATTTTAAATGTTAACTTTTCATTAGTCAAGAAATATATAAAGGCTCATTTATTTTTCATATAATTTATTTATATTTTATTTTATCTTTTCATGTAAAAATAAAATTAAAAAAAAAACAAATGATGAAATTTGATTGGTAAAGAATTTTTGTTTCTACATTGAGATTTCTTGATTCTATTTCACCCTTTAGTAATTTTAATACAATATGTGATCTGGGTTTGGTCTATATATATATATATATATTTTGTAATGTTGTATTGTACATTTGTATTTTTTATATATATATATATTGTAATGTTGTATTGTACATTTGTATTTGAGAATTTAGGTCTATCCTGTGGTGTCCATGTTGTTTGTGCATGGGCTCCGGAATTGATCAAGGCCCCCATTCATGTCATGGGGGATTGATCAAGGCCCCCATTCATGTCATGGAGTGGTTCACTTCTCAGATACCTTGTTGATTTTCTGATTCTACTGAACATACCTTCGTCATGTAGTTTTCTTGGGTAATATTATTCTCAGTACTCAGTTGTGGTTTCTGTTTGTAGATTTGGATTCTTCATCTCTCTCTCTTTTATGTGTTTTCTTGTTGGATATTGAGTGGAGAGAGAGGAAATTTTTAAGGTATGATTCATGAGATGATACTTGTGCAGATCTGATATATTGATTTTCCTGTGATTTTGGACTGTTTGTGAATCTGAGCTCGAAGAATATTTTTGATGTTATCTTTTTGTCTCCCATAATTTCTAGGAACTGGTGCTGATTATCATCTGTGGATAACAATTATTGGTGTCGAAATGTATCTGCAACTGAAGGGTTACAAGCAGAGTAGTTTTATTGATAGATTTAAAGCAGAAACTTGCCTGTGAGGTGTCTAATATGTTCTGCTTTTCTAGGAGAGCATCAAGGCATGATTTAAAGCTTTTAGAACATCAAGGCCTTTCTCATCTTTCTTGTGATCATCAAGCTTCCAAGAACTATCTTTCTGCTAAACCATCCCCTTGTGTTCTTCACACCACTAAGAACTAGCCACTAAATATTCATCCTCCAGAGCTTTTAAAGATGAGGACAGCATTTTTTTCCTTCGAAAAATAGGGCAGAAAATTAAATTATTAATTGAAACAATCGGCAAACTCGAACTCCAAATTTATTGCTAGAATATGTTAGACATCAATACTATATTTTAGTATTGAACACTAGATCTGACAAAGCAACAAAATTATTGATGGAGCTCCCATTTGGTCCAATGGCTTTCTTTGCGAGTTGTTGAAGTGTTCTTATGTTCTCCCTCATTTTCTCCCCCGAGTCTTGTGAAAGAACTTTATCCAAGCTATTTAACACTCCATGCTTTCTAAAGACTCCATCCTCAACCTGGAGACCAATCTTCCACGCATCCTCTACCATGCGTCCATTGAGCCTTTGATCGCCAAAAAATGGCCTACAAATCATGGGCACCCCTCCTGCTATGCTCTCAAGCAATGAGTTCCATCCACAGTGAGTTATAAACACCCCTACTGCTTTGTGAGCCAAGACTTCCAATTGAGGAGTCCATGGTACCACAAGTCCCTGTGATGTGGTTCTGTCCAAGAATCCAGTGGGCAAATGTACCTTCGAGTTGTCCTTCAGTGACCATATAAATGGTACCCCACTTGTCTCTAAGGCCTCAGCTAGTGCCACAAGTTCATGTGGTGGTGGTGTTGTGATGGATCCAAAGCTAAGATATGCCACAGAAGCAAGTTTTTGCCTGTCAAGCCATGTTATGCAACCATATGTGTCTGCCGCTGGTGGTGCTGGTGAAATCATATTGAAGGGTCCAATGTTGAGAAATTCTTTGAATCTAGACTTCAAGTCCCTTGTTATCCTAGGGTCTAGCTCTTCAAATGAGTTAATGAACACTGCAGCTGCTTGCGGCAACGCTCTTCCCATTTTATGCAGCATGTTTGGAAAGAACGCTTCTAAGTTTCCGAAGAGTACCCCTTCTGGCAAATCACGGATTCGAATTTTGGACATTCCTGGAATCAAACTTAGCAGTTCATCTTCATGCCCTGCCACACCTGTATTTACACAATTAGATTGTTAATTTCTCTCCAAGAAACTAGGATCAATATTAACCAATGCGTAAGTTAATCTGATTGGCAAGGTCCTGGAACATGGTTTTATATTGATGTCTAACATATTCTACCACTAAAATTTGATTTAATTGGAAGTAGGTACCTCCGACTCCAAAAGTATCCCTGATGAGATCAGTGTAGACATGAGCAGAAAGTGAGGTAGGTCCTGCAGTCCAAAAGGGCAGCCAAATCACCCCTATCTCTTCCGCCATCTCACCAGCGAACCAAAAGAAGGCATCACTCACCAAACAACTCACCTTTCTCCCTGTATCTGATGCAGCTACCTCCATGGCCTTCTTAAAGCTATTAGGAGCTGACTTCATGAACAGCTCAATGTGCTCTTGAGGCTTCCCAGAAAACACGTAGCCCTCAGGGACACCATCCCACACGTCGTATGCTTTGATGTTCGTGTTTTGCTTGTAAATGGAGAAGATGGAGTTGTTGGACTGTTGGGTGCTGAAGAAAGAGAAGTGTGTGTTTGGGGAGGAAGTGGCGAGGCGGTGGATGATGGCAAGTAACGGAGCCGCATGGGAGGAGAATGGGAAGGCAAGGACTGCAACATGATCAGGGCCGGCGCTGGTTTGAGGCATTTTTAGGATTAGTTGAGGCATGAGTAACCATGTGCAATGCATGCATTTATAAAGAACGAAGGACGGAGAAGGTTGTCGAAATTGTTACCTGTACTGTATGTGCACAAAACGTAGCAGGAAAGACTGCTCTACACAGGGAAAAGTTTGGCTAACAACATGTTGTCCACTGACAACAAATCACCACCACATGCCTGCATCCCCCAGGTAGTTAGATTATCATTGCTGACCAGTGGTTGGTTGACTAATGCGTGAGAGATGGCAGCTGAGTGCAAAACACGCGCTAACCCCCAAGACAGGGCCGCCAATGCTACAATGAGTTGTTAAATTTAGCATGACTCGGTGAGCTTATTGGAAGGAATGACTGGGTCATTAATGGATGAAAAATAAATATACCAAAACAATTCTAGTATTCAGCTACTTGTAAAAGTTGAGTTGTATCTATGAATATCTTTAGTATATTAATTATAATTTTTTTATCATTATATTATATTTTTCTTTGTTCAATTTGATCGTAGTAATCCTCGTTTTCAATTCAATTCCATGTTGTTTAATTCATGAAGATTTTTTTATTCACATCAACAATATTATCAAGTTAAATATGTAATCATTTGAAATGATTTTTTGATAGAATTATTATTTGGAATGATGAGTGAAGTAGAGTGGCTTAAATAAATTTTATTATGTTTATATAAATATTCGTTATCTAGTTTTAATTAATATAATTAGGATATTTGGTAAAGTTTTATTTTTAGATAAAAGATTAATTACTCTAAATTAAAATATAAAAATCATCAATGCTATCCTACCACGACAAAGCTGCTATATGTTTATTTTTTTATAAAAAAAATATTGTAACTCATGCTTTATATCATGTTATTAGCAAAAAGAACTTACAGTATAAGGGAATGGTAATATAGAAATGCCTTGATAGATTGTAGATCTAACCAATAAAATTATTAATTTATCTATTATTTATTTTAAAATTGATTACGGTGTCTCGGTCTTTTTATATATTTTTTTGCATAATATAATTATTTCATTTTATTTAAAAGCAAACAATTATTTAAATTAAAATTATAAGCTTTTTTAAAATTTCGCTTTTCACAGCATAGTTAAATAATTTTATTATTTTTAAAATCAAAATTTTTTTAACTTGTTTTCAAGGATTTATTTATATATTTATCCTAATTTTTTTATGATGATTATGTAATATGAGAAGTAATATGGTATTTTAATAAATAGTAAAAATAATAAAATAATTGGTGTGTCATTGTACGTTCTAGCAAGTAAGTTGTCGTGTTATGTTCAATTAGTGCTTGTAGTGGCTTATGATGGCAAAAAATGAAATTCCTTGGTGTTTTTTGAATGTTCATAGTATGGTATATATTTTTGGGTAATGTGTGTAGCAAAAAAATTTTATTAATTTTTTTATTTTCTCTCTCTTCCTTACTTTTCTCTCATGATCTTCTAAAATTTTACAGTAACACCCTGAATTTAAAAAAGAAATTGGAGATCGATGATTGGACAATTAGAGATTAGGCTCTATTTTTTTTATAAAAAAAATCTATATGATATTTCATTAATTTAAAAAAAAAATTTAGATTATCTTTGTAACTTTGTATTTTCCAATGAAGCTTTCTCATATAGCAAACCATTTCATTTGCTAAAAGTTGAGCCTGTTTATGTTTTCTTATATGCTTCAACCTTCTTTGACTTTGACTGAGGAAGCGATCGAAACTAAATTCATAATTGAAAAATAAAAAATAAAAAAGGACTCCAACATGCATTGGCTTGTTCATTAGATCATTCGATACAACTCGCTCCAACACTTTTGTTCCCAACACAAAACCGGTCAACTTTGTCTTCTGCTACAATGAACTTGCATTCTTCCATGTAATCACCACCCAAAATTATGATGCTTGAATTTAATTTCTATTGCTGCTCATGTGTTTAAAACTCTCTCTCTCTCTCTTTGATGCAAACTAGAATGGAACTCACACACATTCCAACACACAAGGGTTTTTTAATCTATAATTCCACAGAAAAATAGAAAAAAGAGAGATATTTGAGTTAACTACTCAAAGAATTTTTTTTTCAAGCGAAACTTGCCTATTGACACGACCCAAAGATTGATGTCTCCTCCCAAGTGTAGGAGTGTCAAAGTAATAATAACCCGGCAAGACCGAGGTCGAACCATAGGGAGGTTAATTGTATAAGTTATAAACAACAACAATAGTAATAACAACAATAACAACAATATTATTATTATTATTATTATTATTATTATTAGTAGTAGTAGTAGTAGTAGTAGTAGTAATAAAGAAGAATAAGAAAAAGAAGAAGTTGATGAGAACTTTAAGATGAAAGATCAATATAATGGTTAAACAATGATAACAACAAATATCAAGGTTAGAGGATCCACTAATGGTATGTCAAACAAGTATAGTATAAACTCTTAT